ACCCTATGTTGGAAAAGAACAGAGGTTGCTCCGGGAAAGAGCTGACCATTCAGAAGCACTATGTCCTCTTGCCTCCTAGAGCACCTCTGCCTTCAAGGACACCTCAAAGCCGTCCTCCATGGCTCAGCTTGAAATGACCTCACCCTTGTCTAAAAGTCTGCAGTCTTTACTTTTTACAATGCTCCCTCACCAGGCAATGAGCCAGGCAATCAGCCTGATACCGAATTCAGCCTGCGTCTCCTTTGGAAATGACGGAAACTTTCTGATCTGCACTCTCCTCATCTGTAAAAAAAGCAATGATGTCTATCTTGCAGGGTTGAGATTTTGAGAAATAAATGAGACAAAGTATGTCAAGTTACTAGGGACGCTGAATACGGTAGGTATTATTTTCAGTATTATTTCTTACACACCATCACCTGTTAGTGTAAGTTATCTTTGGGGTTGTATCGTTTTTCTCCACTTGAAGTGAGCTCCTGGAGAACAGAAATGATTACTATAAATGATTGTGGAATAAATAAATTCTCCATTCCGCCACCCAGCCCAAATACTACTCAATGAGTGCTTGTGGATTGTTAGACTATAGGGGAAACATTAACACAAGATCTTAGCACGCTTTAGACTCCAACTAACACCTGGTTAAGTCTCCTTCTGGCCTGATGTAAACTTACATGTCTTTCTCAGACCCTGGGGGATGTGGCCCAGAGAGCAGGGCCTACTTTCCTGAAGCACGCATACTCATGGGACACCAGGGGCAGAGCACAGAGATGGGCAAACCAGTGTTTATCACCCTTTTTTCTGCACCACCCGGTTCTGTGGTGGGTTGGGCAGGGCAGGAGATATCAAGAGAGGGCACTGGCCTGGGTGTTCAGCTGCAGCACACCCAGTGGGATCTGCAGGCCCCTGGCTTCTCTTGTTGACCTGGGTTTGACCTGCATCCTGACCCCCAGCTTTCCCTTACTCCTGGGTTCTGGACTGTACCCAGAATTGCTCCACACCTCCACCTTGGCCCTGCTCTTCCTACTTGTACAAGCCCTGGCCCCAGGTGACCACAGGGAACAAGGTATGGACTCCGGACTCACAATCAACTCAGCAGGTTACAACTAGATTTTTAAGAGCCCAGTAGAAGAGAATAGGACATAGCAGTGTTTTGCATGTTGTAAAGGTTAGCATTGTTTCACAAAGGGTTATTTCAGCTTTATGTGTATGGCATATACTGTCACATGTATTTCTGATCGGGGATTGCAAGCAAAAGGGTTTTAAAGCCAGTGCTCTAGAGCAGCGATTTTCAACCTTTTCATCTCACAGCACATAAACAAATTACTAAAATTCTGCGGCACACCAAAAATTTTTATTTTTTGCTGATCTGGCAAAAAAAAAAAAA